CTACACCCCACAATGTTACCGAAAGCTTGGCCACTTGTCCACGAGGCCGAATCGGAAGAATGAGGACAAGCAGTTTGAGGAGGAAGGAAAGAGAGTTCGCTTTATCTACAAAGGAGGAAATATGGTAGACCTCATCTCAAAATCTCAAACTTCCTGAACATAGGCAGAAATACAGAGCTTTTACAAGAAGGGTTCTTGGCTTCAGCCAATTACTGTGGTCAACTAATCTAAAGTCCCATCTCTGCCAGAGACAAAGCCTATGAACTCTGCCAGCCTGGGAGTTTTAACAAAAGACTTAACCTGCCTCAGGGAGGCAGGCTAGGCTGCAGTTCCCAAAGGAGTGGGGAAAGTTTTAAAAAGACAGAAAATCTTTTTGCCCCATTTTTTCCCAGGCCATTCCCTCTGTTACAACAAGACATCTTTTGTATTAAAAAATTCCTTTTTTCCTCAGCAATCCTTGTTGTCTCAATAATTGGATCTTTGTCTACGAGCAGTTCGACCTAGGCCAAAGCCCCCCTTGCAGTTTTGATAACAATTATATGTAAAATTAGGTCTAGCTTTTCTGGGCTTCTCAGTAATTAAAAAGAATATGTCAGAAATATTCCACTATAATGGTGAATGTATCAATGTCTTCCTATATTCTATCAATTTTTCACTTTATATATTTTGAAGATATCTTATTTGGTGCACGTGTGTTTAGAATTGATATAATCTTTTTGGTAAATTGAATCTTTTTTGTTTGCTTATTTTTTTAAAGAGATGGGATCTTGCTCTGTTGCCTAGCCTGGAGAACAGTAGCTCTATCATAGCTCATTGCAACCTCAAACTCCTGGGCTTAAGTGATTCTCCCTCCTCAGCCTTCTAAGTAGCTAGGACAACAGGCATGTGCCACCATGCCTGGCTAATTTCTTTTGTTCTATGTTGCTCAGGCTGATCAAACTTCTGTCCACAAGTGATCCTCTTGCCTCAGCCTCCCAAAGTGCAGCTTTGGGAGGCATGAGCCACTGCGTGCGGACAAAAATAGAATCTTTTATCTTTATGTACAACCCTTTCTATCCTTAATAATGCTTTTGATTTTTAAGTCTATGTTATCTGATATTATTAATACTATAACTTGTGAAGGAAAAATAAAATTTCAGGACCCCTAAAACTCACTATGTCAAAGGGAGAACTAAGCCTGGAACTGAGTCATGCAGCAGCACTACCATCTTCTCCCCCAAATAGCTGTGATTTCACTATCCTTTTGTTAGGTAGATAGTGAGGGATTCCGGGTCTCCTAGGGATGAAAGCGGGTGCTATTGCCCCATCTTATTCCTGCCCAACCCTAATTCTCCATACCTGGGGGAGGAGGGAATACCCTACGAATCTGCCAATCAGAACTTGGCGTGCTAGTTGCAAAAGAATTCCGAGGACTCTCTAGCCCACGGGCCAAGCAGCATAGGTAACATAGAGTCTGGAAATTGAACTAGAACAATCTATATGCGGAAGGCTCAGGTCATGTGACTCCCAACTGTCCAATCAAAGTGGTTCCATGGTGATGTCTGAGCCACAGGGAGGTCCCTATCTGGGCACTATAAAACAAGACACAGTCCACAACCACGTCCCTTTTGCATCCTTCCTTTGGCTCTCCCTTTGCTGAGACAATGGGTCTGGTGGTCATCTGTGGCGTATGTACTATACTCTGTAAACTTATATCTTCCTCTTGCCCTATAATCCTATCTTTCTTTCTTCAATAAACCTCATTTTCGTGCTTGCCTAACTTTAGTGTGTCTAGTCATTCTTCAGCCATGAGTGTGCCAAGAACCGACATTTCAGACTAACCTGACAACACGTTTTCAGTCATTTATTATATGCGTTATCAAACTGTAGCATGTAAACTAAAATAAAATCTTAAGCCCCCCTAGCCAAGGGGACCCCAGAAATACCCTAAAGCTGAGTTGCTGGCCATGAGAAGGGAAGTCAGACATGCTTCCACATGCCCCTCTCACTTCTTGGAGATATGCTTTATAACTCATTAACAGGCCTAAGGCTATGCAAAGCTTAAACCACACCTGCAGGTCATCAGTTTAAAAGATCCCTTGAGTCTCAGTATATGTCCATGTCTGGTGGCTTGTTTCTGATTAACAGACTTCCTTAACTTTAAACATTCCAAGCCTTTAGACAAAGCTTCATTTGTTTAACCAATTAGAAATCAAAGAATCTTTAAACCCACTTATAACCTGTACTTCCCTGTTTGGAGATGTCCTGCCTTTTTAGGCCAAACCAATGTATGCCTTCTATGTATTGATTTATGACTTTACATGTAATTCCTGCCTCCTTGAAATGTTTAAAATCACACTGTAACTCAACCACTTGCTCAAGGCTTCTTGGGTGAGGCTTTCTGGGCCATGGTAGCACACATATGGCTCAGAATAAGCCTCTTTAAAAAAAAACTCTTTAAATTTTTTACAGAGTTTGGCTTCTTTTCTGTTGACTGCCAACTTTTTTTTTATACCTACTTTTTATAAGTGTTCGGCTCATTCTTTTTAACTTTTTCTTACTTTTCAGTTTACACACACACACTACACTCCCTAATAAAGACAATAACTTAGCAGAGTTACACATTTCTTGATCTACCCTGAACATCTGTGATATTAATAGTATATATAGACTTTAATT